ATTTTTTATTTAACAATAAACAAAAGGTGCATTTTTTTTTAATTTAATTTCTCAAAAAGTTTTTTTTTTTTCTCTCAAACTTTTTTACCGGGAAAGAGACACTTTGAACTACAATCAACCCAAATCTCTAATAGCGAAGATATTTTTTTCTGAGTTATGATTTTTTACAGAAAATATACGTTTTTGTGGTACATACTACAATATTCTTATATTGTTTAACTAAATGGAACATATGTATGTAATATATCAGCAAAAAGTACAGCCGTAATCATTTTTTGTGTATCAAATAGATATTAGAACACACTTTCCACCATACAGTTTCGATTATAAAAAGCGGGAAAATGTGATTTTGTATTTCGAAACTGTATGGTGGAAAGTGTGTTCTAATATCTATTTGATACACAAAAAATGATCACGGCTGTACTTTTTGCTGATATATTACATACATATGTTCCATTTAGTTAAACAATATAAGAATATTGTAGTATGTACCACAAAAACGTATATTTTCCATAAAAAATCATAACTCAGAACAAAAAATCTTCGCTATTAGAGATTTGGGTTGATTGTAGTTCAAAGTGTCTCTTTCCCGGTAAAAAAGTTTGATAGAAAAAAAAAAAATACACTTTTTGAGAAATTAAATTTAAAAAAATTGGCACTTTTTGTTTATTGTTAAATAAAAAATTTTAAATAACGAAAATCAATCATTTTATCATTCTATCTTGAAGTGACAAGAATTACTGACATTTGAGTAAAAACATTGTGGAATCTATTAAATTTTGACAAAGTTATGGGCATTTAAAAAAAAAATTCTCACTGTCAATTCGAATAATCGATTTTTGCCTGAAAAACAAAATCGCGTTTAATTCGACCGAAAAATTTTTCCGAGCCAAAAGAAAAAATACGTGTCATTATTTGGACCAACAAACAATGTATTTGAGTTTGGTACAAATTAAAAATCATGCTCGTACCTGACCGGTTGTCTGGAAATGGAAAGCATCTTTGACATAATTTCCGGCACTGTTGATTGTCCAGTACTTTTAAGCAAAATTAATTTCAGTGTTCCTTGTAGAATGTTTCGTCACTATGATGTGTTTTATGTTGTCACTAGTAAGACTGTATATAGCTTTAATGCCCCGGTTAATAGAACTCTCGTTGAATTGAATAAGCTCTTTGCTTCTTTAGACCTTGACCTCTCATCCACTAAATTTGGTTTTAATTCCCACGTAAAGTCATTATTAAGTAAAAATCGTGCGCTTTAAAGTCTGCTCTTTGTATTGTAATAATATTACTTTTAACTTTACCTATGCTTAGTCTGTAAGAATTGTAAATTCAAAGACAAAACGAAATAAATAAATAAACTACTAAAAGACCCCAGTGGTGGTCTCTATTGGGAACATGCTGGTGACCTCGTCCATAAACTTGTCCTCTAATTCTCCCGTCATGCGGCAAATGGACTTGTCAATTTTTTTAATCGCCACCTTGCACTCCCTTAACGCCTTTGTTTGAGCCATCGCCTCCGGTTGTTTTTCGATCTGGTGAAAATCTTTTATATTAATAAAAATCTAGGAGTAGCAAGCACTATCAGTTTCACTCCGCTCACGCTCACTGAGAAATGAATCATCTGAACATGAAAGGCAACCCCCTTGCGGAAGGTGATTCTGTGAGCTAAAATATTATATCTCCATTACAAACAGGTTTTAACAAGGAAGCACCCGAAGTAGTGGATGCTTCTGGCACACAAACCAAATTCACACCATCACTTTAACTTGGAAATCCATCAGCACATTGTATTTCTTATAATCTTTTAAATTTTTTGACATCGGACTCAAATGTCCTTGTTTCTTTTGTTAAGAAATTTTGCCAGTGCCTTTTATTCATTTCGCTTATCTTTAATTAATTCCGCTTCTGCTCAATCCAACTTTTTAATATTTTTGGTTTTAGCCACGCGCGCACTTTTACAGCTTACTTTACTGTGATTTCTTTTTAAATTTCTTTCTTAATAAAAAAATGCAACTCTGGCGAATGTGTGCATGTTTCGCTCTTGCACATACATAACCAAGTTGTAACAGCCCTGCAATAAAATTTAGAGATAGTCTGGCAAAGCGCTAGTTCCGAACTACATATTTCAGAACTATCTCTGAACTGGTGCGAAACGGATGCAGAGCGGGACAGTTGAAATTGCGGTGTAAGTGTACAAAATTTCACTTCCCGTACAATATGAAAGTAGCTCAGCGAGAAGACATCCGACTCAAGCATTGTTGGTCGCGAGTTCAAATCGCGGTGAAGGCAGTGCGTACAATATATTTTTTTTTTATAAACTATGTAACAAACATGGAATCTGTAAGAGAAAAGAAAAACGGAAAAAATATCAAAAAATCGAATCTTAAAAACGTTTTCTTATAAAAAAAACTGTCCAAAACGGAACCGGTTAAAAACTAGCTGCAAAGTAATGACTGGGCGACAATTGCCACCTCCAATGACTTCGCCATGTAAAACTGGACAGTTGAAATCATTGCTTGGGCATTGAGCTGGAACTAGACTGTCGGAAAAGGTAAAGTTCTTCCCTAGTTTTGAGCTAGTCAGATTTTCTGCAGGGATTAGTCTCTTTTTAACCAACGCCAAAATATTAGAAAGGTTTGCAAATGTGTTAGTAAGATAAATGTGAATCTGTAATAGAAAACAAAAAACGGAAAAATCGAATTTTAAAAACTTTTTCTTAAACAAAAAACTGTCCAAAACGGAACCGGTTAAAAACTAGTTGCAAAGTAATGCACTGAGCGACAATTGCCACCGCCAATGACTTCGCCGTGTAAAACTGGACAGTTGAAAGCATTGCTTGGGCATTGAGCTAGAACTAGACTGCTGGCAAAAGGTCTAGTTCTACGCTAGTTCTGAGCTAGTCAGATTTTCTGCAGGGAATAGTCTCTTTTTAAACGACGCAAACATATTAGAAAGGTTTGCAATTGTGTTAGTAAGATAAATGTGAATATGTTAGTTTCCATCACTCAATTCTTGTAGGATATTTATTTCGACTATGTTGTTGTAACAGCATACAAATTCCCCAAAGAGTTTTTGAGGAGTGATGCTGGAGTGACAGTTCTTAGCCCTATATAAATCTGGGTTGCCCCGGATACGTAAAACCGACTGTCGTGGAACGGTTGTTGTAACAGCATACAAATTCCCCAAAGAGTTTTTGGGAAGTGATTTCGACTATGAACATGCCACATTGAATCGTAGAGCTACGCTATTTACCCTGCAGTGAAAAGCCAAACCAGTTAGAAAAAATACTAGTTCATTAACTAGTATGTGCCTACCAGTTCGACAATTTCGAAGAACTTAGGCGATTAGCGACATCTGCCTTTGAATTGCCAAAGCCAAAAATAAAACGCAATTAATTGCTTTTCTTACAAATGTCGGCTGTGGCGTCACGTGAAGACTACTGGTTCTGGTTCTGAAATCGCAGGTTCGAGGCCGCTTGGAGGTGGTTAAGATTTTTAAAGTTAAATAAATGTAAGTAAAAATAATTTATTCAATTTATAAATAAATAACAAATTTGAAAATCTAATTGCGTTGCAAAAAAAAACATTTAGGAAGAAATATAAAAACAAAGAAATTAAAAAAAATATTTTTTTTATTAAATTAAAAAATTACAATAAACAGCATAAACAAAAAAATAAATTTATAAAAAATAAAAATAAAATAAAAAATAGAAAATAAAAAAATTTTACCTGCGCCAGGATTTGAACCTGGGACCTCAGGCTTACCACGCGAGTGCTCTTCTCTGTCGGCCATTGTGACTGCTGGAGCGTCGCGAGCAAAAAGGCACACTTATGCTTTTCACGGGGCATGAATTGGCAGACTATCTCATCAACTGGTATGATGCTACTAGTATTTATACTAGTAGATGCTGATGCATAGCCTGACAATTGACATCTCGTAGGACATCGCAATGTTAAAAATACCAGTCGCTAACATTGAAAAAGGATAGAACGTGAACTAGTTCGGCTGAAACGCAAACAGGTAGAATTCTAGTTCATAACTAGTAGCTTTCCCTGCAGGGTTACTATAATACGTTTCGATTGTTGGCAACTCTCGCAGAGTTATAATTTGAGTTAATGGGTAATTGAGTTATAGTATGTTCAGCGTTCTCATTGGGGCTTTTAAGAAAGTCAAAGCTCGAATCGTCACATATGCTCGGCAAGTAAAAGCACATTTTTCGGATTATGACACGTGAGCGTACTCTGTATCCAATTCAGCTTATACGACTGACGTAATTTTCTTTCGTATGGTTTTTGATCCGTGAACGGATGTTATGATTCGAACCCAGCGTTTAATTGGACATTTGTTTGTTTACTTTTTGTTATTCACATTGCTATCGATTTCATACTTACAGTGGGATGAACATCACAGCCTTTAATATTAATATAATCCTACTGACAGAAGTATGATGAGGAAATGTAGTGATTTCCGAAATAGCTATCACTTCTACCATTTTTTCAAATTATTGTTGCTTTTCCACAATAAGTTTTTCAGTAAAAACGGCCTCAAGCTCCATAAAAATTGTTGAATATAATTGTTATAAGGCCATAAAATAACAAAAACAAATAACTTAAGGACGAGCACACCTAAAAGTTAAACATTCTAAAAATAGAATTATTAACAAAAACCAACAAAACCAACAACCACATGATCAAGTGTGAATTGCAGCGGAATAGCTGCGCTTGATTGTGTTGGCTTAACAAATGAAAAAGTGGGAACAAAGCAACGATAATTTACAAGGCGAACTTAGCACAGTGCGTAGGCAACTGCCTGAGTCAGTGGGATCGTCGGTTCGAATCCTACAGAAGGAAATCTGATGAGGAAATGTGGTTATTTCCGAAATAGCTATCACTTCTACCATTTTTTCAAAATTTTTAATTTTATTTTTACTATATTTGTACAATAAATAAATATTCTACAAATACATTACGATTCGCAGCACTGGCGACGTAGGCCCTCAGCTGTCCTTTGCATCTTATTCGAATGAGATTATATGTGTCTTTGCATATTGCTTTATACTATTATGTGTTATATTCGTCTGAGCAGGTCTACCTCTTTGAGAAAATTATATATTAGTTGTACATTTCTATAGGTTGGGTTTTTGAGTAACTCGATGGGGTCGGCAGAGTTCAGGATGGCTTGTCGGGGTGTAGTGATTGTTGTACATCGTAAAATATGTGTTAGCGAAGATGCTTCCTCGCAGAATGGGCAAGTTTCGATGGGGCTTCGTTGTAGTAAATAGGAGTGGGTAACAATTGTATGCCCAAGACGCAGGCGGGTGAAGGGTCTTAACGCACGTAGTGGTATATTTGGATCGTAGACCATCATCTTTCTGCATGGGTTGATTGCTGAGTAGTGATGGACGTACATTCCCCAATCGTCGATTAGTGACTTCAGTCTTAGCCTGGTAGCTTCAGCTCGAATGTCTTGCTTAGATACGGAGTCATACATAAGTGAGGGAGTGATGGCGATGTTCTTGGCTGCGGCATCAGCGTGTTCATTTCCCGAAATTCCAACATGCCCGGGGATCCACATAAGTTTTATTTTGTTAGGGCAGTGTAGTAGTATGTTGCGGATGTTAACTATTGCGTTTTGAGTGTTGGATGGTGATTCGACGGCGTTGATGCACGATTGACTGTCTGTACAAATGACGAATTTGCCTTTATTCATCTTGGCATAGATGACTGCTTCGAGTACAGCGGTGGTTTCCGCCGTGAACACCGAGCAAATAGAATGAAGTATACCGTGTTTGATTATGTTCCCGCAATGTGATACTACTGCAAAGGAGGTGTTGTTTTCAGTCTTGGACCCGTCAGTGTATACGAATTTCCAACCAAGGTTTTGATATTTCTCTTTTTCCGCAGCGAAAAGATTTGTATACTTCTCCTTTGGAGTACTTGCTTTGGGAAGAAGCAGAGCTTTGATGATTGACTTGGCGTTGTTTATCAACCAATGCGGGTGTGCTTCTATAGCTTGAGGCTTTTTATTGATGGGTATCTGAAGATCCTTTGCAAATTCTAAAGATTTTAGCATTCTCGATTTGCACCTGGGCTGCCGTTTTCTTGTTAACATTTTTTGGACATTTTCGGAAAGAATGGAGTTAGAGGTGTACAGCAGTTTTGGTAGGAGTCGGCGTGTAGTGTCGGTTGTTCTGTCTGAAATTGTTGGTAAGCCTGTTTCTGCGTACAACTTTTTCAATGGGGTTGTAGGGAAGGCTCTGATACTCCTGCGCATTGCGGCGTGGTACGGTGCTGACAGCTTGTTGAGTGTAGCTTTTGGGCTTTTACCGTAAATAGGAAGGGCGTAATCAATTTTGGATAGGATTAGCGCTTTTGTAATGTTTATTAGCGTGGTAGGGTGTACGAAGCTTTTCTTTGATGCAAGGTATTTGATTATGTTTAGACTATTTGAAATGCGCTCTCTTAGTTGAGTACAGTGTGGCTTGAAGTTGTATTTGGAGTCTAAAATCAGTCCAAGAACTTTGAGTTCTTGTACCGAACTTATAGTATCATTGGAAACGCCGGGACAATTCTGTTTCCGGCAAATATGTAAAATTTTGGTTTTTCCAGTAGCAATTGTGGTGCCAGAGACCAGAGACCATGAATTTATTTTCGAAAGTATGCTATCAAAAGTTTCCTCTACAAACGTGATGTCAGAGTTATGCGTGTAAAAAACCACGTCGTCGGCATAGAGTTGACATTCTAAGCTACTTATGTTTTTTGTAAGTTGAGTGATCTCGTCGAATGCTATTATGAATAGGCAAGCAGATAGTGGTGATCCCTGTGGGGTACCATTATCAAGTGGATACGTAGAGGAAAGATACCCGTTTACTTTTACCACACATTTCCTGTTTTTGAGAAAGCTTTTAATAAAATTCTTGATTTTTGGGCCGATTTTCCATTTCTCTAGTTGCCTTAAGATAATGTGGGCGCCGATACGGTCAAACGCTTTTTGAAAATCGGCGGAAAGTACCGAAAAGTGGTTTTTGGACGAGAGGGCTTCTGAAATTAGGTGGTCGAGATGAACTAATGCGTCTATAGTACAGCAACCTTTTCTATAAGCTACTTGATTGGGACTTATACGTTTCGTGATGTTCGCATACCACATAAGTCTAGAGGCTACGATTTTTTCCATTACTTTTCCAAAGCAAGGGATGAGAGAGATGGGTCTATAATTGTTTGCGTCTCCAGCGGGCTTGTTTGGTTTTAATATGGGAACTATGCACGCAGTTTTCCAATGTTGTGGGTAGTGTCCTTGGTCGAGAATAAGGTTGTAAAGGTTAAGCAATCGATGTTTTACTTCGATGGGTAGTTTTTGGATGATGGGGTATGACACCTTGTCAAGCCCTGGTGTTTTACCTTTAACCGATGAGAGTGCGAATTGGAGTTCAGCTAAGTTTATTTTTGCTTCGATTTGCTTGGCGTGTGTCGAGAGCTGTTGATTTGTCAAAGGATCTTCTTGCAGGTATTGCGCTTTGAGTTGGCGGAAAGTATCTGTAAAGTTTGAATCGGAGGAAGCAGACGAAAAGGAAGAAGCGAAATAGTTGGCAATTCCCAGCGGTGTGGTTATCGTTCCGTTAGGAGAGTTAATGCTGGATAGATAAGATTGCTTTTGAAAGCCAGTGAGCTTCTTAATGTCACTCCAAACGTCACTTGGGTTTGATGTGGGACAGATTTTCGATGTGATCTTTTCAAAGCTTTGTTTTTTAGCCGTTTTTACAGCTCTCTTGAAAAGGGCATTAGCTCTTTTATATGCTAAAAGATTGTGTTCAGAGCGGGAGCGTTTGTAATTCTGCCATTCACGCTGTTTCTGCAGACGAAGGGTGGATAAATTGGCATTCCACCAGGGGATCCTTTTTTTGTAATAGCACCGTGTGGTTTGCGGGATAGTAAAGTGGGCGGCGGTGCGAACAATTCTTAGAATTTTTGCTGCTTCTTGGTGAATGTTGTTTGTCGAAGGCGTGTTTCGGCAAAGTTGGAGGCACCGGGCAGTAAAATTGTCCCAGTCCGCGGCTTCTGTCTTGAATTTGCTGATGTGCTTATACTGAATATGATTTCCGTAAGAAATGATACTTGTTAGGATCGGGAAGTGATCACTTCCATGCAAGGAGTCTACTACACGCCAGGTGCATTGCGGTGCTAGGGCAGCAGAACAGAAGGTGAGGTCGATGCAGGTGAAGGTGTTGTGGGTTGAGAAATGCGTGGCGGTGCCGTCATTTAGACAAATTAGATTAGAAGCCAGTAACATGTCTTCAACTATTGTCCCTCTTTGATTGGAGTGGGTATCGCCCCAGATTGTGCTCCGTGCGTTGAAGTCCCCTCCTATGATGCAGTTTGTGTTAACCTGTCTTAGCAAGCGCATTAGTTCAGCGGCAGTGAAAACTTGCGTTGGGGGGATGTAGATACAAATGACAGCGAATTTTTGTGTTGTGCTTATCTCTATTGCTACCGCGGAAAAATCGGAACGTATGGGTATTACTCTGTGTGGTATATTTCTCTTAACTAGAATAGCGTTTCCTTGTTTCTTGTTGGTTATTTGCATGTGATTGTGGAAGTAGCCTGCATAGTTTTTGGGTGTATAGGTAGGCTGATTGTAGGGTATGTGAGTTTCATTTAGGAGTAGAATAGAGGGGGAGAAGGAGTTGATGATGATTTCTAGTTGGTGGTAGTTGTTCGTGTACCCATTCATGTTCGATTGTAGAATTGACGTCATATTACTTGAAAAGTTTTAAATGGTTTATGTTTATGTTGAATAATCTTTCTGTGCTAGTGCTTATGTTTTTGCTGGGAAAGTGTGTTTTTATAAGTTTCGGGGGTAATGAGGACATTTAATTCGGGATACTTGGCATATATTTGGCTGCACGGTGACATTTCGATGTCACTAACTGTAGGGGATGCACAAGGAGTCCGAAGGATTCGATCCGTTGAAGGGACGCTGTTTTTGGATGTGGTTGCGTGGTTGTTCTTATGCGGAAGTTTTGGAGAAGAAGTTGTTGGTTTGGACTTGCTTTTGGCTGTTGATGCTGTTTGGCTAGTTTTACNCAATGTTCCTACACGTAATTTACGCAGTGTTTTTTCTTTCTACATCGTATTTTCTAAAACGAACTATGCAATGTATGCTGCCTTGATTAGAACCTTAGTGGAGCTAAACAATATTCCAACTTTTGACCCGTCTCTATCTTGTGGAGCAGTTCGTACTTTATTATACAACTATTTTAACTAGTTTTAAGTACCTCTGAATTATAGTCAGTAAGAATTTATTGTTCAATTGACTGAAATAAATAAATACAAAAAATCAGTACGTTAGACTTTTCCTTGCTAAAAAATCAGTACTTTTCAGTACATTTCATTCAAAGCAAAATTATGAATGTAAGTAACAAATAATACTCTAAAACGCCAGAATATAGTTCATAAAAAATGAAGGTGTTATTCATTTTAACATGAGTTTCCACATAACTGTACACAGAAGCCAATAAATTTTGTTATATTTATGACATTGTTGAATAGAAATAATGAAATCATTTCCATCTTCAGTGTTTAAATAGTCAAAGAATTCTATACATTTCATTTTAAAATACATACATTAAATTTGAAGTTCACTTTAAAAAAATTTTATTAGAAGCCGGTTTCTCTCTTTGCGCCAGGAAGCAAACTTTATACTTAAGATCTTCTCAGTTGCTTCCTTTGTGTGTGGTGTTGAAAAAAATACAAAATTGCATATTTTTTTCAAACTATGGCAAAGTACCACTTCATCTATAAATCCTTATGGCTTAAATTAATTTTTTTTTTGCCCTTCCCCGGTGCAAAATGTGTTTGATGCTACACTCAACCCTATAAAAAGGCATGTTTTTGCCTTCTTTCCTTGTCCAGCTCACGCATTTCATAATAGTGTGGTTCTAAACAACCACCTGCTTTTCAGGGCAACCATCTCCCCTGAAAAAGTCTCACGGAGTAGAAAATATGCTTGTTTTGCTTTACGGGACTTTGACTTTTTAAGAAACGAAGACACAATTTTCCCACCCTTTGCCTTCAATTTAGAATCGAGAAGAGAAGCGGCCAATCATTTTTTGGTGGAAACGGAATCACCATAAGTCATTTTCTTCTTACTTTTTACAGTACATTTTAAGGAAGTTCCAACGTTATGTAAAAACCTTAAGAAAATACTAAAGTATTTTGGTTGAATAGAAAATTCAGTAAAAATCAGTACAAATTTTGAAAAATCAGGACATTAGCGTACTGATTAAAGAAATGAATAAAATCAGTACAAGAGTTGAAAAATCAGTACTGTACTGATAAAATCAGTACATCTGGCAACCGTATCCACATGCATTCACTTAATTGTAGCCAGGTTAATATCAAATAATTTGGGCTATTATGAGTTGTATTCGACCTTCAACTGTTTATTTATTTATTAGTCATTTGACCTATACATATTCACGTATATACATTTGTAATATGTATTGCAAAATTAATATATAATAAATAAATAATAATAAATAAATAAATAAAATAAATAATATTGTTAACCTTTTACAATTTTCCTTCTAAGCTATAAAGCAGCCCTACAAGAAATCTTACCGGCAAATGACCGGTCACCTGACGGTCAGTGCTGATGCAATAATGCTGCAATTTCCTCATTTCGGGGGTAATATGAAAAACCTGACCGGTTCTTTTGTGTACATGTGACTATGCGTCTCTTTCTCACATGGCGATTTTACCAGCACTGCTAAAAGGTCTCTTTTCTACTTATTGTATTTTCTAAGGTTATTTTTACAAATGTTTTTCTGTGTATTGGTGTATATTTTAGTGGGTTAGTGAAGAGGTCAGAAAAAAAGTCCTTTTCTTGTAGGGAGCTTATGTATAATTTTAACTAAGATGGCATATTTTCGATGCTGTTGGAATGGACGTAGAGTCCAACCGATTAATCGGCATCGGCTAGTATCGGCACAAAATTGAGCATCGGCCTCGGCATCGGCATTTTTTCGCCGATTATTTGGAATTTCTTTTCATAGTTTCAGGTGAAGTGACAGACAACAGCCAACATCAAAAAATATTCGGCCCTATCGTGAATTTCACATTAACAAATATTCCCAAAGATTATAAAGCAAAACAAAAACAAAACAGCATTCTTCTTCTTCTTATTTGGCGCTGTAATCGCCTAAGTGATTTTGGCCAAGTTCAACCAAGCACGCCAGTCGTTTCTTTTCTGTGCCAACTGGCGCCAATTGGAAATGCCAAGTGAAGCCAAGTCCTTCTCCACCTAGTTTTCCATCTCAGTGGGGTCCTTCCTCTTCCTTTGCTACCACCAGCGGGTTCGGAGTTGAATACTTTCAGAGCTGAAGCGTCGGTGTCCATTCGAACGACATGACGGAGCCGCTGTATTTTAATTCGCTGCACTATGTCCATGCCATTGTAAAGCTCATACAGCTCATCGTTCCATCGTCTTCGGTACTCGCCATCGCCAACCCGTAAAGGCCTGTAAATCTTCCGCAAAATCTTTCTCTCGAATACTCCAAGAGCCGCCTCATGGGATGTTGTCATTGTCCATGCTTCTGCGTCATATACCAGCACGGGCATGATGAGTGACTTATAGATTGTGGTTTTCGTACGTCGAGAGAGAGAGGACTTTACTCCTGAATTGCCTACTCAGTCCAAAGTAGCACTTGTTGGCAGGAGTGATTCTGCGTTGGATTTCCATGTTAACATTATTTTCGGTGTTAATGCTGGTTCCCAAGTAAACGAAATTCTTTACTTTCTTGAAATTATAACTGTCAACAGTGACGTGGGTGTCAAGGCGCGAATGTGCTGACTGTTTTTTCTTGACAGAAGATACTTCGTCTTGTCCTCGTTTACCACCAGACCCATCCACTTTGCTTCCTTATGCGACTTGGAAAAGCCAGAACAGACTTCGCGGTTTTTGTTACCGATGATATCGATGTCATCGGCATAGGTCAACAATTGCACGCTCTTGTAGTAAATTGTTCCTGAGCGGTTCAGTTCTGCAGCTCTTATTTATCACTGAAGCCCCGTTTGGTGGCCAAAGGCTCGGAGAGGTCCTTCCCAATTCTGACGGAGCTGGTGGTATAGCTCGACGTCATTTTTGATTTGTTTGACCTTGNGCCAAGTCCTTCTCCACCTAGTTTTCCATCTCAGTGGGGTCCTTCCTCTTCCTTTGCTACCACCAGCGGGTTCGGAGTTGAATACTTTCAGAGCTGAAGCGTCGGTGTCCATTCGAACGACATGACGGAGCCGCTGTATTTTAATTCGCTGCACTATGTCCATGCCATTGTAAAGCTCATACAGCTCATCGTTCCATCGTCTTCGGTACTCGCCATCGCCAACCCGTAAAGGCCTGTAAATCTTCCGCAAAATCTTTCTCTCGAATACTCCAAGAGCCGCCTCATGGGATGTTGTCATTGTCCATGCTTCTGCGTCATATACCAGCACGGGCATGATGAGTGACTTATAGATTGTGGTTTTCGTACGTCGAGAGAGAGAGGACTTTACTCCTGAATTGCCTACTCAGTCCAAAGTAGCACTTGTTGGCAGGAGTGATTCTGCGTTGGATTTCCATGTTAACATTATTTTCGGTGTTAATGCTGGTTCCCAAGTAAACGAAATTCTTTACTTTCTTGAAATTATAACTGTCAACAGTGACGTGGGTGTCAAGGCGCGAATGTGCTGACTGTTTTTTCTTGACAGAAGATACTTCGTCTTGTCCTCGTTTACCACCAGACCCATCCACTTTGCTTCCTTATGCGACTTGGAAAAGCCAGAACAGACTTCGCGGTTTTTGTTACCGATGATATCGATGTCATCGGCATAGGTCAACAATTGCACGCTCTTGTAGTAAATTGTTCCTGAGCGGTTCAGTTCTGCAGCTCTTATTTATCACTGAAGCCCCGTTTGGTGGCCAAAGGCTCGGAGAGGTCCTTCCCAATTCTGACGGAGCTGGTGGTATAGCTCGACGTCATTTTTGATTTGTTTGACCTTGTCTTGTCGGTCCAAACAGGAATCTCGATAAACTGTTGTTGGGTAGCTCGTTTCGAATGGGCTGGTGATAATAATTAAGTTGACTTACGTTTGATGATTTGGAGATTACCGGTGTACGGTGGTCCAACTGCTGCCAAATCAATAGACCATAATTTATATCCACAGACTCTTTATTTCCACGGGTAACAACTTGGTTGGGGATTTGCCGGAAAGAATCTGGTGGAACAATGCCGATAAGTATATTCCCCAAGTATACGCACTCTGAGGATTGACTTTAACCAAACCGATGTCGTCAGCCTTAATAAATTGCTTAGTGAGGATTACTTCCGTTCTTGCGAGGGCTGATGCGTGTTGTTCGGTCAGTGTCCAATTCCAAAAAGGAAAAATATTTTTCTCGCCTCGTGGTATGTGACCACCGATTCTTTTATCGTATGTCAGTGTGGGCGTTTTCATAGTGGCCATGTCAATTCGTGTCTATACCGATATACTGGTTCGTGTCTTGAATAACTATTGGTTACGTACATTCATCTGGCAATTCCCCCCCATTTTGAAGTTTAGCTTTGACAGTTTTGTTATGTTTACATTTCTCATAATCGTTCTTATGTCTATTATTTGGCCAATAAAAATAATAGATCATTATCCCCCTCTCATCTTCAGCGCCACGGTAATAAAAAAATGTGGAGCGTTTAGTAGGGATATGAGAATGGTAGTTGGAATGTGATTCACGGGCTGTGGTTTGATGGACGTTAGACCTTACATCGAAATCGTTCTACATGATCTTCATCAACCCCATCCTGACTCGTTCAGTTCGCCTTTGAGCGCATATGTATGTACACATGTTCCGTCTTTCCTATTTAGTTTCAGTACGCATTANACTGAGGATATAATATAACAAAACTATGGATATAACAAAACTAAACTTAATTAATTTATTCAGTAATTCATTTCATTTACAAACGTAATTATTATTT